CTTAAGTGTAGTAACATAGTAGAGGCGTGGCCTGACTTAGGTCATTGTCCTTGCTTGCATCAGGGATAATCCTTCTTGGCCTTCTTGTTTGCTCCATCAGCAGGGAAGACCCCCGATCCCTAGTGTTTCGAGCGCTCCTAACTTGGGCCCCTTCCCGAAGGGTTAAGGGGCCTTCTGATTGCTAATCATCTCCTCCCGATGGGGCTGCGTTCGAAAGCGCCCGCTTGGGCTCCGTGCCGCCGCGCCACACGAGGCGCTGCGGCCCCGCCGCGCCACTCGCGAGGCGGGCCGGGGGGCATGCCCCTCTACAGGAGGATTTTTCAGAATGGTGATGTGTTGGCTACTTTTCTTATGGTTTTCTCCCACAATCTGCCTGGAGGAGGACATGCCCGACCTAAGGCTTGGGCTCGCTCTGGCTCTCCTCCTGGGCTGCGGGCCTCCCGGGCCTTGGCATCGCTCGGACGTGGGCTTTTTTTGTTCGGCGAGGGCCATCGAGGATCATCCCCTGGACATCCAGCTGCTCCAGGTGTTTTTCGATGCGTGGGCTCCAGAGGTCCGGACCACTTCTCTACAGTCGGCCCAGATTAGTAGGTCGACCCTGCCAAATCCTTACGGGTACCCTTGTGTCCTGTGCCTCGCGACCCATGCCTCCTACATTCCTGTGGCAGCGTGCCCCTCGAAAAGGGTCGTTTGTCCTCTCGCGTGTCCTCTCCAATCAAGTCCGACTCTAGGGCCGGTTTTTCGTCCTGAGTCCTTTTCTGACGCTCCCGAAGCCTGGCGAGGGCCCCCGGAGGCCGAAAACGGCCAAACCACTTGCGATGGCCAGCCCCGCCCGAAGAGCCTTAGTATGGGCGTCCAAGGCCCTTGCATCCTTATCGCGCATTCTTATGATACGGGTTGGCTGTACGCCACTCCGCCGACCTTCCAGAGGAGAAACGAAGTCTACGAGTGAGGCCGTTTTCTCCCGAGTAGCGTTTCGCCAGAGTACTCAAATCGAGTGCAAAGATTGCCTCTCGAGGAGGAGGAGGAGGGGCTTTGACTGCACTTAGCTCGTTGCAAGTAGCTTGAGCGGGGCGGCCGCAGGTCGGCTAGGCGGCAGACAGAGCCCGCCTAGCGGGCACTACAAAGGATCTCCGCTCCTGGTCCGTCCGCAAGCAAAAGCGATTCTTCGCCATTGGACCTGCATGTTGGGCGGGGGAGGTATTGGCACCGAAGGGGAGGGAGGGGGAATATATGAGGAAGAGAAGGGATCGGTGCCGTGCGAGAGTCACTAAGCGCGCCAGCTAGGCGTTGCCCTATGCGGGCAGCGCTGAAAGACCGAAGAGCAGCACAGCTGGCCTCAGGAACGGCCACCTGGGAGCATGGCTTAGCCATGGATATGAGCGGGATGAGTAGGAAGAGAGCCAAAATGGCAGTGCCGCGCTGTAGGGCGGCAGTGTCGGAGCGGACCAGGAGGGAGAGGCTGGCATTGCCGCCTAGAGACCTAGGAAGCCCCATCGGAAACGCACGTGACCGGTAAGGGGGGCAGGTAAGAGAATGCCTGTGCTGTACTTGGCTTCTTAGTGTTAGCGGGATTCGCCGACACGTGGTAAGAGGAGGAGGGAGGAACTCTAGGGGGGGGTGAAGGAGTATCTTGCACAGCCAAGAAGCACTAAGGCGAGGTAGCTGTCCGCAGCAGGTGCGCACCTCTGACGGGCAGCATTAGCCGAGAGATACTCGGCAGGAGGGAGGGGGGGTTCCCCGGAGGATGCTCTGCCAAGGAGCTGCCGTGAGCGAAAAAGGCCATTTGCGCCGAAGACGGCCGCATGGAGACCAGCTATGTGCCAAGACGGTGCAACGTATGACATAACATTGCATTGAAAAATGCGTTGCTAGCATTGTCTGGCCGGCCGTGCCGAGGAAGAGGGAGGAATCGAGTAAACTTTCATGGCATTGTCTGTAGGACCACTCTGCGGAAGATGACTGGTAGCGCCTGCGGCTTCGCCGAGACCTGCAAACTTGAGGCGGAGTGCCGCTGAGACAAGTGCGTGACAGGTGCATGCGCACTGCGCCGAGTCGGAAGCCACAGGGCTGCTGAAAGCTGTCTACGGTCGCTGTCCAAAAATCCTGACGCCGAATGTGGTGTGGTCCCTCGGCCTGGTGTGCGAATGACCCTGGACATGGAGCGTATTGCACGGCACGTAATACGTAATGCGCGAGGAAAGGACCAGGAGGAGGGAGTGCCAAGGGGCAAAAAAGAGGATCGAGGAGATGCACTGAGTGGGCTTTCAGTGTCAACCGTCAACGTATATCGGCTTGTGCGCGTAAAGCGGCTGAGCCACGCAGTGCAAGTCGTAAGAGTGCTGCGACCTAGCATCGAGCATTGGCTTGGCCTTACCAGAGGCCTTCGCGCTCTGGGCGGCCTCGGCCGAGCGTCCTAGCACTGTAGCGAGCTGTGCTGTTCCCGGCGGCCCTCGCTGTCGGGCGGACGCAAATGCAAAGTGTGGCATGCCGCTCAATGGCAAAAGCGCTTATAGGACGGTGACCGTACCCTAGATCCAAAACTGGACATGTGACGCCGATAAGGCAGGCGGCGAGAGGCGCTCGAGCGTGAGCAGAGAGCAAAGAGCAGAGAGCTGTGCATGGGATGCACATGCCTGTGCCGTGTTTGTGTGACGCATGTCCATGCGAGTACCTGGCCATTGAAGGGTGAAACACGGGACGAACCAAGGCGGAGGAGGAGGATGGACAGGTGAACGAATATGGTAGACAAAAGCGCAAATACAGGTGCACAGGAGGAAAGAAGGGAGAGAGAGGCACGGCGTGAGCACGGCGTCATCGCATCGCGCCGACCCTGACGGGCAAGCGACCCAGCGGTAGCCGGCTTTTGGGCCAGAATACTAAAGCCGCCTCGAGCGGAGAGCCCTCAGGGCTGGGTGCACGAGGCCGTGAGACTCGAGGGGCGCCGATGCTAGCTCTTGTTCGCTGCGGCCGGCTGCCTCGGGCCGGTGGGCTAAGTGCTTACGCGGGCGCAGTGTGAGACGACTCACGTCTGTGCTGCCTCTGAGTCTTCAGCATCAGAGGACGGAGGCAGATCCCAATAGGGGCGCCCCAGAGGCAACGAAGGAGCGGTTGCGGTAGCCATCCGTGCGGCAGCCGCCGCGTCCAGTGCCGCTCGCGCAAGAGTGCTAGTGAAAAAAGGCCGGGGACTGCCAGGTCGTGGCGGTCTCAGAGCCGTGGGGCACGGCTGTGGCGCCCCGGACATTGAGACCGCCTGCGCCCTCGGAGAGGCTGCTGAAAACCTGTGCGTGGCTGAGGGCTGCGTGGAGGCCCTAGGCTGCTGCACGGTCGCCGGCGTATGCACTGGCACTGCTGGCGTATGTACCGGCACAGGTACTGGCACTGGTAATGGCTGAGGCACTGCTGGCGTATGTATTGGCACTGCTGGAGCTGGGACTGCTGGCGTATGTACTGGCACTGCTGGCATTGGGATTGCTGACATTTGTACTGGCACTGCTGGCATATGCACAGCTGGCGTATGTACTGGCACTGCTGGCGAATGCGGAATTGGCACTGCTGGTATTGGTACTGGCTCAGGTACTGGCACAGGTACTGGCACTGGTACTGGCTCAGGTACTGGCGCTGGTCCTGGTGAGGCGGCGCGCGCTACGGGGGCAGGCTGCGGTGCCCGCTCGGCTGCGGCCGTGGACAGAAGAGCCGCATGAAGCGCGCCTCCCAGCCGGGAGCTGCACGAGCCGCGATGCGCCAGCGCGTCGAAGGCCCGCAGCAGGCCCTGCACCGCTCGCGCGTCGGCGCGGCGGTACTGCTCACGCCGGGCCGCGGCACTGCGGGGGGGCCTGCGACGGGGCCGGGCCGCCCGCTCGGGGGAATCCATGGCGCGCCCGCTGAGAGGGGCAGGGGGGGGAAAGGAGGAAGCGGCGCGGGGGGGCGCCCGTGGCGCTGGCTGGCAGAGCAGATGCTCGGGCCAGCTTGCGCTGAGGAGGAGGGGGAGGAGGAGGGGGAGGAGGAGGGGGAGGAGGAGGGGGGGCCAGGGGGAGGCGTCTCGCAGGCCCGCCGTCGGTGCGGCAGCGCTCACTGTGGTGTTTTGGCTCGATTTGGTCCAGAAGGGCAACTCACTATGGTGTTCTGGCGGCCATGAATATGCTGGCAGCGCTGACTATGGTGTTCTGGCTTGATTTGGTCCAGAAATCAGACTCACTATGATGTTCTGGCTAGATCTGGTTCGAAATACCTTCTCTCTTGGGGCTCGAATACCGTGCACGTATGTTCCTGACAACTGCCCTTCTCCTGTGTTTCGAGTCCTATATGCTTTACGCATGTTCCTACATGTTGCCCCTTTCCTGGGTCTTTTAATCCCATCTGTTTTACGTGTGCTCCTATAGATTGCAGGCGTGGTCACCACACAGGCGCCTGCCGAAATACCGGGCGATGTCCACAACATGGCAGATGTCGTGGTCGGCGTTTCGGGGAAGGAGGAGGAGGAAGAGGAGGAGGAGGAGGAGGAGGATCAGGAGGAGGAGGAGGAGGGAGGAGGAGGAGGAGGAGGAGGAGGAGGAGGAGGAGGAGGAGGAGGAGGAGGAGGAGGAGGGAGGAGGAGGAGGAGGAGGAGGAGGAGGAGGAGGAGGAGGGAGGAGGAGGAGGAGGAGGAGGAGGAGGAGGAGGAGGAGGAGGAGGGGGGGAGGAGGAGGAGGAGGAGGAGGAGAAGGATGAGGAGGAGGAGGAGGAAAGGAGGAGGAGGAGGAGGTGGAGGAGGGGGAGGAGAAGAAGGAGGAGGAGGAGGAGGAGAAGGAGAAGGAGGAGGAGGAGGAGGAGGAGGAGGAGGAGAAGGAGGAGGAGGGGCCGAATTCGGCCAAGCTCGGGGCACCATGGGGGGCTGAAGGCCACCATGGTGTTCCCCGCCCTCGCCCCTCCGAGCGGTCGCCGCCGTCGTGCGTTTTTGTTGCTGCTCCTGCGCGCGGGCGTGTCCCGCGCCCGGGCCTCCGTGGTGCACCCCCCAACCCATGGAAGTCCTGCTGTTTGGACTCCCGCTCCGCAGTGTCGCACCCAGCACCAACCCGCGGCCCCCTGGTCCCCCTCCCGGCCTCGGGCACCCCCAACCCACGGAAGCTCTGCTCTTGGGACCTCCCACACCGCAATTTCGCACCCAGGACCGACCCGCGCACCCCTGGCCCCCCTCCTGGCCTCGGCACCCCAACCCACGGAAGCTCTGTCTTGGGACCTCCCACGCCGCAATTTCGCACCCAGAACCAACACCGCGCCCCCCTCCTGGCCCCCCTCCTGGCCTCGGCACCCCCAACTCACGGAAGCTCTGTTCTTGGGACCCCCCACCCCTCAGGGAAATTCTGGCACAGTCGAGCATCTGATTGCAGTCGGACCGAGGCATTGGAGCGAGGTCGGTTCGGGGAGGGTATCCTATAGTGCTATTCGTGCTTGCTGGACCCTCTTGTGCACCCTGGGGAGGGTACCCTTGAATGTTCTCTGTGTTTTGGCCGACGACGGGTCTCATGTTCTTGAGGGATGCTCTTCTGGCCTAGGTCCGACTGTAAGGGGCCTCCTCCTGAAAAGCTCGGCCATCGTGTCTTGACCAGCTTGCTGGGAAGCTGGCCCCGTTTCTCGAGCACGCTCGCCCCTCCAGCGTCTGCAGCAGAAGTTGGCCCAGCTCCGTTTTTTCAGGCACTTTGGAAAGCTGGCCCAGATTTCTTACGTGATGCAATTCTTGATCACGTTTTCGGCTGTCGGTTGCGCCCCAGGGAAACCCAGTCTGGGGCAAGAGTGGCCACCTGTCCGGCGAGACCTCTGCGCTCGCTGGTGGCTTGTCTGTCCCCTATCGTCCCCTCAGCTCCCCTCCGACTGCTCCAGACAGAAGAGAGTCAGGAGAGGAAAAAACACACAGACACAATTAATCGTCGACTCCCAGAACATATGGGAAAATACGTGGAATCCGGTTATTTGTGTCTATCTATATGTGTGCCTCAGGCCCGCGTGTGTTTGCGTCCTCCCGGTGCGCATCTGGACCGTGCGCTTGCTCCAGCTTGCCCCTTCGGCACGGCCTCTGGGGAGCCCCCCCTCCGCCGCCCGCGGGCAGGGGCGCGGCCCGTCGAGGGGCCGCCTGTGCCGGAAGGCTCTGCGAGAGAGTCCCAGACGCGGATCCGAGCCGGCTTTGGCTGGGAGACGAGGGGGCCTCCGGAGGAGGAGGAGGAGGAGGCGGAGGAGGAGGAGGAGGAGAAGGAGGAGGAGGCGGAAGAGGAGGAGGCGACAGTTTCGCAGATCGCAGCCCCCAAGGGGACGGCGAGGGTCACGAGGCAGGGAGGAGGAAGGAGGAGGGGGGGAAGGAGGAGGAGGAGGAGGAGGACGACGACGACGAGGAGGCGGAGGAGGAGGAGGAGGAGGAGGGGGAGGGGGTGATAAATTTCATGTTACTTTGGCCTCTGGAGGCCTCCGGGGATCCCCAGGTACCTCCGAGGACTTCTATGAACATGTTTCCTCGGGGGTCGTGCGCGGGCAACCAGGGGGTGCAGCGGCCTATGTCCCCTTCGTGCTCTCGATGCGTCGCGCGCCTCTCGCGTGCAGATGCGTTTTTTTCAACAACAACCCGCCGCCGAAGCCGAAGAGGCCTCAGGATCAGGACCTGGGCCCCGTTCTGAACACCATTAAGTTCTTCCAGGACTATTCGGAGAAGGGGAGCGCCAGCATCAAAGGCCCGCTGGCGGGCGTCCCCTGGGTCAGCTTGATCTTCCTCACGATCCTGGGCTTCACCCTCAACACCTTTATCACCCAGGGAGGCGAAGGGTCGATGTACGACGAGATGGCGAGGAAGAGGCAGAAGAGCATATCTGGACTTGCGTCGACAAATGTGGACGTAGTCAAGTCTGTGGACGTCCGCGTCGTCAAGGATGTGATCCGGGAGTGATGTGTAGGGCCCACTCGTGATTCGCGTGTTTTGAACGGCCGACTGCGCCAACTGCCTGCTGCGCTGTGATGCGCATTTTGAAAGGAATTTCCAGCCTCGGATCGCCGTAGACACGCTAACGGAGATGTAGGTAACGGCGAAATAGGTTTCGGTATTGTGGGAACGCGTGGCTCGCACTTTCCTACAATTCGCTGTGTCGTTCTCGGTCGATGCACTTGCTTGTGGGCAATGTAGGAAGGTGCGGTTCGTGATGTCCTACAGTTTGGTTCCGAACATCACCGTCAAACAGCATCGCCGCTAGCGTGGCCTTGGGATCGGCTAGCAGATGCGGCTGGCAGGAGAGGCGCGCTGGGCAGAAGGGCGATTGCCTTGGTGCATGCGGTCGGGAGTGCGCGATTGCTTCTGCGGGGGTGCGGGGCAGAGCCAACCTTTAGTGATCCCAGAGCAGCGGCGGCGCCTAGATAATCACTGTTTCCTCATGCTTCCACCTCCCCCCCTCACGCCCCCTCTCACGCTCCCCGTCCTCCCCCTACCTCCAAGGCCAAGGAGGAGGCAGGAGGCCGAGGAGGCCGAGGAGGAGGAGGAGGAAGAGGAGGAGGAGGAGGAGGAGAAGGAGGAGGAAGGCCGAGGAGGAGCTCGGAGGCTTGGGGAGGAGGAGAGGAGATAGGAGGAGGCGGAGGTAGGAGGATGAGCAGGTCTCCTACCTCCTAGCGGCTCTCCTCTACCTCCTCCTCCTCCTCCTCCTCCTCGGCCTCCTCCTCCTCGGCCTCTTCCCCCTCCTTCGCCTCTGGGCCCCCGCCCCACGGAGTTGGAAGAAATTCACCACTCCACCCTTCCCCCCTCCACCCAGCCCTGTCAGCACTGCGCGGCAGCACAGGGTGTCAGCCGTGTGCGTCATCGGCGTGCCTGCCAGCCCTGGATGGCAGTGCTGCGCGTTGGCAGTCGAGCATCTGCGTGTGCGGCCACTCTGCCTTGCAATGTCAGGCTCATGGTGTGTGTGTGTGTGCGTGTGTGCGTGTGTGTGTGTGTGTGTGTGTGTGTGTGTGTGTGTGTGTGTGTGTGTGTGTGTGTGTGTGTGTGTGTGTGTGTGTGTGTGTGTGTGTGTGTCTGCCTGCCTGCCTGCCTACCTGCCTGCCTGCCTGCCTGCCTGCCTGTCTGCCTGTCTGTCTGTCTGTCTGTCTGTCTGTCTGTCTGTCTGTCTGTGTGCGTGTGTTGTGCTGCTGTGGTGCGCGCGCGTTCGCGTAAGATACGAGTGAGGCGCGTAGAGAGCTGTGATACGAAGGTTAGCGAAAGCCATGGGCTGGACTCTGGAGTGAACCCGTGCAGTCGAGCGTCTTATTCAGAAACTTCCTCCCGAAAAGTTGGGCCAGCGTTTCTTAACCAAACTTGCCGGAAAGCTGGCCCAGTTTCTTGAGCGCGTTCGCTCTTCAGGCGTTTACTTCAGACACTGGCAACAGACACTGGCCCAGATTTGTTGGAAGAAGCTTCCAGGAAGCTGGCTCAGGTTGCTTGAGCATGTTCGCCCCCTGGCGTTTACCACAGAAATTGGCCCAGGCTTGTGATAAGAAGCTTCTGGGAAGCTGGCCCAGGTTACTCAAGTGATAAGTCACTGCATCCGAAAAAGGGAAAGCGCTATAAACATACGCTTTCGACGCTCCGCGCGGATTTCTTGGATCTTCGCTGAGCCCCCCCTATTAGTCATCTTTCCGGCCGTGTGCGCATTGCAGGGGTTGTGCATTGCATCCGCTGCCTGGTGGTTTCTGGCCCATCCCGCCGCCGTGCCTGGGTCGTGGATCGGTATCGTTTGTCCAGTCCCCATTCCCATCCCCATCCCCGTCGAGACCCCCACCAAATTACCACCCCAGTTGAGGATACACCCCTCGAAACTCGAAGGGAACGACCTATATCCCCATCTAGGGGGGTAAATCGGCCAGTGGGGCCCAGGCCACGGCGCTGGGGATTCGGATCGGTTAAACGATACTCAGTGGACCAGAGGCTCCTCTCAGTTGCCCCTCGGGGTGTCCTGCGGGGGGGGTCTCTTGGAAACCTCTCGGGGGGACATCTCGGGAAACAGACGGCAAGGCACGGACGTGCAACATCTGCAGCAGGAAACTGTGTGTTCTGGGATGTGCCCGAAGGTGTCGCTTTATATGTTATACGCTCGGTGTTGCAGACCTTCACTGGCGAATGAACAACACGCACCTGTACCCATAGGGGGGACGCAGGGGGCTATGGTCCCCGTTCGAGCGGGAGCCTCCCCCAGGGTCTGACAACCCGCACCCATACCCATAGCCATTCCTCCTCCCTCCAATCCTGCTACGGGTATGGGTGTGTGTGTTGTTCGTTCGTCATGAAAATGCGTGATGTGATGAGCAAGTCAGTGTTGACGTTTGTCTTGCTCAGCTACGTTGGTGCTGATTGCTTGTCTTGCCGCGCAGTTCAATATACTCCGTGACGCCAACTTCCGTTTTACAATCGGTGCCAGTTTGGCTTCCAGCGCGGGTTGGGATCCGTGTCTAATGGCTATCGGCGGCGAGTCCGGGGAGAAGCGAGAATGAGAAGGCCTTCTCAGAAGGCTCGGAAGTCCCCCGGTCGAGAAGCTGAGCCTTCTCCGAAGACGCAGAGAATTTTTCAGAAGGCGCGAGGGCTTCTGAGAAGTCCCGCCGCCTTCTGAGAAGGCCTTCTCCTTCTCACTTCCCCCCCTTGCTCACCGCCGAGAGAGGGCGGGCAGAGTGCGGGAGGTGGAGAGGGGCCAGGGAGGTGAGGGAGGGAGCAAGAGGGGACTTCCGGAAGCTTTCAAATGCTGCCCGAAACGGTTGAACATGAGTTTGAGAACAGCCGAGCACATCCGAAGACCTTCTCCCTCTCCCCCCTCCAGCATTGGACGATGGGGTCGTTGCTTTCTCCACCTCGTCCTCCTGCGCAAAGCCCGCGCTCAAGGTGTGTCCTGACCTCTGGCGGGGGGCCAACGCCTTCGAGGGCATCATGAAGCAGCTGGCAAAGACCCCCTCGAGAGGAGGATGAGGAAGAGGAAGGGGAGGAGGAAAGGGGGAAGGGGGGGCGAGGGGGAGGAGGAGCAAAAAGAGTAAGAGGAGGCGGATGAGAATAATGAGGAGGATTGGTTTAGGGAACGGGGAGTGGGGTCTAGGGGAGGAGGAGGGGGCGAGGATGGTGACAAGGGATGAGGCGGGTTTCAACGTGTCTTGGAAGGTCCTTTGGAGAAGAAGTGCGTGTGGACGAGGAGAAGGAGGAGGAGGAGAAGGAGGAGGAGGAGGAGGAGGAGGAGGAGGAGGAGGAGGAGGAGAGGGAGGAGTAGCAGGAGGCGTCGCATACAAGCATGCAGCCGCGCAAACTCAAGCAGCCTCACTTCTTCGTGTTGCCCAAGCGCGTCGTTGTCATATTTGAAGAAGCTGCCCTACAAGTATGAGGCATCACATGGCCGACTCCGGAAAGAATGGGTGCGTTGGCGTCGGTCTTTCTTTGGGGGCAGTTTTACTTCGGCCAGTTTCCGCCGAGCTTTGGCCAGCTTGAATTGGAGAAGCCGCCCTTTGCAGCAGCTTTCGCTGGCCTTCCGCTGGCTTCCGCCGAGGGCGCGATGTCAACTTCTCGAAGGCGTGGCCCTCCTGAAACGCCATCTGTCTGATCGACGCGAGGCCGCATGAGCAGAGCTGGCACAGTATTTGCCCAATTTTTCTCGCAGGGCTGGGCCAGGTCTTTTTGGCGAACAGATTCTCGATCGAAGCCCTTGTCGTAGGTCGTTTGAGCGGTCGGCGAGCCGCGGCATCCGATAGGTCAGCGCCACGTTAGTTCCGACTCCTCGTCATTTTTCCCAATCATCCTGTGGTGTTGGGCCTTCGTTTTGAAGAGACGGTCTCCGCGTTCCTCTCCTCTTCTCCTCCTCTTCCCCCTCCTCCTCCCTCCTCCCTCCTCGCTGCGTTTCACCCACCCAGTACAGCGCTTCGTGGCCCCATAAGGGGCTCCACCGAAGGTCCCAGTGGCACCGCCCGCATGCGTCCGCCACCACCCAGCACAGCCCTTGCTCCTTGCGTTTCACTCACCCTGTACAGCGTTTCGTGGCCCCATAAGGGGGCTTCACAGAAGGTCCCAGTGGCACCGCCCGCATGCGTCCGCCACCACCCAGCACAGCCCTTGCTCCCTGCGTTTCACTCACCCAGTACAGCGTTTCGTGGCCCCATAAGGGGGCTCCACTGAAGGTCCCAGTGGCGCCGCCCGCATGCGTCCGCCACCACCCAGCACAGCCCTTGCTCCCTGCGTTTCACCCACCCAGTACAGCGCTTCGTGGCCCCATAGGGGGCTCCACCGAAGGTCCCAGTGGCACCGCCCGCATGCGTCCGCCACCACCCAGCACAGCCCTTGTTCCCTGCGTTTCACCCACCCAGTACAGCGTTTCGTGGCCCCATAAGGGGGCTCCACCGAAGGTCCCAGTGGCACCGCCCGCATGTGTCCGCCACCACCCAGCACAGCCATCGCTCCCTTCGTTTCACCCACCCAGTACAGCGCTTCGTGGCCCCATAGGGAGCCCCACGGAAGGTCCCACTGGCACCGCCCGCATGCGTCCGCCACCACCCAGCACAGCCCTTGCTCCCTGCGTTTCACCCACCCAGTACAGCGCTTCGTGGCTCATATGGGGGCTCCACCGAAGGTCCCAGAAGCACCGCCCGCATGTGTCTGCCACCATCCAACACAGCCCTTGCTCCCTGCGTTTCACCCACCCAGTACAACGTTTCATGGCCCCATAGGGGGTTCCACCGAAGGTCCCAGTGGCACCGCCCGCATGTGTCCGCCACCACCCAGCACAGCCATCGCTCCCTGCGTTTCACCCACCCAGTACAGCGCTTCGTGGCCCCATGGGGAGCCCCACGGAAGGTCCCACTGGCACCGCCCGCATGCGTCCGCCACCACCCAGCATAGCCCTTGCTCCCTGCGTTCCCCCCCCCCAGTACAGCGCTTCGTGGCCCCATAGGGAGCGCCACCGAGAG